CAAGACGAGCAGCAGAGGCTTGAGGTTGGAGTTCCAGACGAAATGCGAGCGAGAAAAGCGTCCAGCCGTCGACTTTGATGACCAGAACTGGGTTTTGAGAGAGACCATGTCGTATTTCGGAAAGCATGAGGTTCCGGAGCGGCAGGGGGCGGGTCTTCCAACGCCCCAACGAACACTTTGCGAGTCGATGGCACCACCTTCATCGAAATGACTCGAAATGGATTCCTATGCAGGCGACGGGCACAGGATCCTGGTTAAATGCTGAACGACGAACTGAGACTTAATGGCCGACTTGCCAACAGCAACCCGACACCCCCAGGACCCAGGCTCTCACCGTTTGCGGCTTGTCTCAGTGTAGGGAGCATCATGGCAAGGTTGAACAGCTCGCTTCACGAGCTGACTATGCAGGTGAACGAGAGAATTTTTCTTAAGCCTTAAGCATCCGGCCTTACTCATGTCCCGAGCCTCGCCGGAAGAGGTCTGCAATCACCGAAAGTGGGTTAAGCTCGCGGGCACATTTGCATCAGCTCCGCCGTTCAATTGACTTCTCTGTCGGACTGGGGTGACGACCAACCTTCGGCACGTGGTCGTCTGGTTCGTGCCGCTCTGAAGCGATGGGGCAGCTGCAGCTGCGTCGTTGTAGTGACAGTGTCGTTGTGTCTTCGGGGGTCGATTCTGCTTGAATCTTGTTCGAGACTCTAACGATTCTTTAGTGCACTCGTGGCATCGGATTGGCTCTGTCCCTGAAGGACAGCGACGACAAGGGTAAGGAGGCCCGGATCCGGTGCGGTCTTCTGCAGCTGGCACTGGTTGCAAGCAGATGATCGACGTTTCCATCTGCTTGAAGTCTTGATTTATGCTTTTTGTGACTTCTGTGCAGTGAAATGCTGTGTATAGGCCGCACGGTAGGGCAGGGAGGCGTGGCTTTGCGATGCGAGCCGGACAGGCTTCGCTTGACTTGCATTTCTACCGAGTTAAGGGCACGCGTTCTTGAATGCCGTGTGTAGGCCGAGCATGGTAGGGCAAGGAGGAGTGGTTTCATGATGTGAGCCGGACAGGCTGCGCCTGCTGACTTCACTCTGAGTCTCATGCCTTCCTCCACTTCTCTGCAGTTGCAGGAAACGAATTTCCAGAAGCAGAAAGCCGCTGGCCTGATCCTGCACCATACTGTACGTAGCAGGGCGAGCTCCTCCCTATGCCAGCACGTCGAATGGCAGCATGCTGCATGAGTTGATCTTTCTCGTCGTCCATGCTGCAGCTTCATGATACGTGCATTGCATGTAAGTGTCTATGTAAATGTACGCCTACGCGCATGGCGAAACCTGTGTGCATGAAGTCTTTGCCAGCTGCTGCCACATCGAGGCTGCGGAAGAGCGCGAGGCTTTTCTGCGCGCTCTGATGGAGGAGCATGCGGAGGCCTGGTGACGGCTGGAGAAAGCTCATCCAGCGCAGCAGCGGGGTGGACGAGAGTCTCCGGACATGTGAGACGTCATGTGGAGTTCGGATGATTGCCTTACTGAATTCTGATTAATTCTGACTGGTTGGTGCTGCAGGCTGAGCGTGAAGAGCTTGCAAAGAGAAAGGAGGCTGCCCCTGCTGGGAAGTTCTCCGGTCGAGTGTCTACGCTTCGGGGAGCGGGTGCCCTCAGGCAAAGCACAAGCAGATGCTGCTGCGGTTGGAGGCCTGGCAGTTTTAAGTTTGAAGCGGAATTCTAGGCGGAAGATCTGAAGTCAAGCATTCGAGTCTCGCCATCCGGAAAGCCGCATCAACTTCCAGAAGCTTGCTCGCCTTCTAGGGCTCTTCAATATCTGTGCAGGTCGTCAAGTGTGCCCATTCGCTGAACCTGCTCAGGCTGTGAATGAGCTCCTCCGGGCGGAGTACGCGAACATCGTGGACCGTGAGGCCCAGCCAGTTGTCATGTCTCTTGGGTAGCCAAGGTCGGCTTCAGGTTTCAGAGTTTGGGGTCCCAAACACTAGCACCTCACAATGCCGCGGGGGGGGGGAGGCGGTGTGGCGTGGGTGGCAAAACTCTTGACGTGTGATCAACATCATTCAATTTTCATTACACTGAGGCCCGCGTCACCTTCGAAACGGAGGTGAAGGCAGCTGGGCGCGCGAGTCGCGCCTGAACGGGCATTGCTTGGGCTTGTGGTGAGGAGATTCTGCCTTCGGAAAAGGGACCCTGCGTCCGACCCTCAGAAAGCAGAAAAAGCAGAGTTGAAGGATGAGTTGGGCGCTTTGTGGGGCTCGTGGTGCCCAGAGTCTGCAGAGTCGAGGTCCCCGGTGCGTCCTCTGCGTCCTCTTCTTCAACAGAAGGCGAAATCCATACAGTGCTTCTCAAGTGTGAAGGGACGGCTGCTTTGCTGGCTCTGTTACACTCCGCTAGAGAGGTGCAGTCGAGTCCCCAAATCTGCGAGCTTCTTAGACCCCGAATCCGCTCTCTCTGACAACTGGGCACGATGACTACCACCACGGCGGCTTGAACTGAAGCCGAAGGCACACCAAGGCAGGATGACGAATGGTTTGAAGCCACCGGATCTTGAAACATGGGGCAGCGAGTCTGTTCACACGTATGTATTCGGTTGGTCCTGCTTCGCGTACTTCGGCTACCTTCCGTGCTCGCTCGCTCTGCTTGTGAAGGTTTCTCACACGGAAGAAGCAGCTAAGCTTTGAAGATGTTGAACCCTGTTGCACAATATGCAATGGCTGTAGGTAGGTTGTCCTTCTAACATCTTCTAACATGGAAAAGATGGCCTTTTAGTCGTGTCGAAAAGCGTAGAAGAGTCTCCCGGCCTTGCTCCCAATGAAATGACGGCAACACCCGTTTTGCTTTAAGCGAAAATCGTGGTGGCAGCGGGCCGTGTTTAACCGTGTTTCATCGGAAGGGGGATATGTCAAGCCGAGAAGTAGGAAGGGGCGCAAGTAGAGTGCTGCCCCGCTGTCGAGGATGCGCGAAGCCGTCCATTTTGAAGGCACGTTGAGCAGAGATTCGAGAAGTCTGGTGAGCACGGCAATCTCGTGAGACTGTTGTGCCACTTTGCATGCAGGACAGCAAGCAGCGAAACGCTGGGAACCGCGGACGTGGAAATCCTGGGGACGACGCCTCTTGCATGAATATGGAATCGTTGAAGATCACCTGTTTGCGGTGTGATGCTGGCAAGGACAGTCCGCGCTCAAGTGCCGACAGCGCCTGGATCCCCAGCCCAAACCTGGAGTGATGATGCTCTCATGCTCTCGCCGGTTCGCTGCCGCAGTTTTGGAGCAGATCCGGGAGCTGTAGGTCTACCCCGACTTTGATGGAGACGATGACGTCTTCTTCGAAGAGTGAGCCTCCGCCCCACAGACCCGGGTGGAAGGCATGCGTGTCACATTGATTCACTGCTGTCGTTTTCTCCGATTTGCAAAAAATCAGATCTAGCTCTCTTCTCGAGCACTGCATGCGCTGCCCCGATTGTCGTGGATCTGCGGCATGAGCCCTATCCGTTTTGTGCCGCGAGTTTGTCCAGCTTGACATTGATGCACCGCCCGAACAAGTCTCTGTCTTCTCTTCTGGAGACTCTTGGTCGTGACTGCTTGCAAGATTTATGATCTTAGGGAAGCTCGGAACTCTGCCAGCCAACCTTATAAAGTCGACTACAGTTAGCTGCGCAAGCGCGTGCGACTTCGACGGTGCATAGACATCACTGCTGATTGACTGCAGCAGGAAATGTTTGCACTGGCATGGACACGTACGGCCAGCCTACGGCCCACAAGTGCTGCCACTTGTCATGTGGCTACATCTTGGCATGCTTGGATGCGGAGCATGTGAATTCCGTTGCCGCGTTTGCTCTTACGGCATCTCCTTTTGCAGACTCTTCTCAGACCTCGCCACGTGCGGGCTGGATGTTGGCATGGCCACGATGAGTGAAGTTTGGTGAGTCATATATACTGGTAGTTGGTCAAAGGGGGTTCTCAGCAGTAGGGTCGTATCTTCCACAGTGTTGGGCGCTCCATCTTTGTGGGCGATGGGTGCAGCGCAGCCGCTTGACGAGCTCAGATACAAGGATCTTTTTTGCGCTGCTGCAGTGTGTAGAACGTTGTACCGGATTTTAGTTGTCGATGCCGAGGTGCAATTTATGTTGCGGGGAGCGGGAGAAGGACTGACAGTTCCTGATGCCGCCGCATGCTTGTAGAACGCGGTCCACGATTCACAAATCTACAAATCTATCATGTCAGATCACTCTTGCCGAATTTTTCTGCCACGGCAGGGACCGGACAATGGGGCGCGCAAGCGCTGCGCGACAGCTGGTCCAGGCCGGGTCAGGACACGGTGGCTCTGCTCTCTGCACGCATCTCATCCTTGCGGAGGGCGCCAGAATCTCCCCGATCTCCTGACGAATCGTCGGCCCAAGGCCAGGCTTGGAATGGTTCAAAGCTTGCTCGAATCATCTTGAGTAGGTGGACTGCGCTTGTTTAAGCAACACGGGCAAGAGAAAGATGGATGAGTCACATGAGTTACAAGTAGGCCAGCATCCACAAAAATTGAAAATTCAGACAACAGACAAGAGGAGCAGCAGCGGCATGAGGAAATGGATTCCTATGGAGGAACCGGCACAGGATCCTGGTTAAATGCTGAACGACGAACTCTACACGGAACTGTAGCTGTATGCGACTTAATGGACGACTTGCCAACAGCAACCCGACACCCCCAGGACCCAGGCTCTCACCGTTTGCGGTTTGTCTCAGTGTAGGGAGCATCATGGCAAGGTTGAACAGCTCGCTTCACGAAGTGACCACCACCACCACCACCACCAAGGACGTGATCGTCATCGAAGTCATCCCACAATAGCTGCCAGTATCTGCAGCAGTGATCGGCAGGTATGGTTACAAAATCTTGGTTTTCTTTGCTACAGCAGTGGCCTCAGCGCGTGGGAGTGTCCAAATTCTGCAGATGGTTGCGGCTGTTACCGATAGGCCTGAGCACGTTGTTTGCATGTGAGCAGGCCCGACTGACAACCTTCATGGCCCAGCAAGAAGCCAAGAAGAGATGTCCCACTGCCGTGGCTGAAAAGTCGGGTGCTAGAAGGTTCTTCCGGGAGCAGCTGCGAATGGGCGTCTACGAGATCCACAGACGACGTGATGTCGGAGACGCAGCATGCTGTCGAAGTGCAGGAGACACTTTTTTGCGGAAGCAGGCTTCTGGCAATGATTCTTCCACATTAGGCTGATGCACGGATTGCGACACAAGAGCGCTTCAAGGCTTTCCGTCCGAACTTCATGAGTCACGACGGGGCACGCTGCCTTTGTGTGGCTCTGCCGGCAGGAAGCACAGTCCGGCATCCTCTTTTCCTCAGATGCAGTCGCCTTGGAGCGCTTGTCACGATCCTGATTCGTAGAATCGTAGAAACTGTCACAGCATGCTCTGCACCATGGTGCATCATGTGCGGAAGTACCTGCCATGCGAACTGGCTTGGACGTATGCAGCTGCGGCCAATCTTAGGTCTCGGCTCGCGGCATGGACTATCCCAATGTGACTCTCGTGCCGGGCTGTGGCTTGAGCTGGCAGCAGATTTGGTCGTTTAGTTTTGTGTGTGAGTGTCATCATCGCAGGTGCTGCAGTTCGGAGCACCAGCAACTCGAGAGATGTGCCCCGTGATGTACAAGTAAGTTGTAAGGACTGCTTGACTGTTTTGCTGAGATATGGTGTTTGTATGCTCTGAGCAGGTATATCCACCGAGTGGGTCGCACGGCACGTGCAGGCAAGAGTGGCCAAGCCGCCAGAGTCCCAAAGAGTCCCAACAGCGATGGTCTGCGCTGATTCGATTGGCAAAATGGCATGCGAGGTCCTCATTCTGGGAGAACTTGAGAGCTCTTTTTTGACAGCGGTGCAGGCCGTGAAGATGCCTAGCTTCGCTGAGGGTCATCCAGTCGCGAAGGCTAATTTAGGAGGCTGGAAGGCGAGGGGAGACTGGGCTGACTTGACTTGACAGGACTTGCCCATCCGACAGCATGAGAGGGCAGAGGAGTTGAAGCGAGTCAACGAGTTGCCCGGGACTCAGACACCATGTGGCGTCTTGGCTTAAGCTGCTGCTGGAGCGCGTCTGAGCCGGTTCAATGAGAGCGTCCGTTTGTGCCAGCGAGGCTCATCAAGGCACCGTTCGGAGCCTCTGCACGTCACATGAGCGGAGGTTACAGTAACCCGTTGGAACCTGATCTGCAGGCGACAACTTCCTGGCTTGCCTCGGCACCGCTTCGGGCAGCAGCCAGTGCCGCTTTCGCCTCACTTCTCGTCCATTACAAGGCCCTTGGAGTGAGCCCGGTGCTTGACGTTGCACTCGGCTAGACGCAGCTAGACTAGGACACACGGACAGTCTTCCAGACTCGTTTCCCGCAGTGTAGGACTCACCTTGCATGGGCTGGCAGGCTACACACCGCATCTTGCACATGGAGGATGATGCTGTCATTCAGGTGTCCAGCGGTGTGCAGAATTCATTCAATCTTAGTCTGCACATGGTTTTGCTGGTTTGGGTTTGAGGGTGACGGCAGCAGGGCAACCTCGTTGATTAGTGAAAGTACGTACCGGTTAGCACGAGTAGCAATTGCAAGGAGTCGCCACACGGCAGCAGCAGCAGCCACAGCAGGAGGAGGAGGAGGAGGAGGAGGATGTAGCATTGCAGCAGCGGCAGAAGTAGTCGTAGTCGCAGTCGTAGTAGTAGTCGTCGTAGTACTAGTTGTAATACTATTAGTAGTAGCAGTAGCAGCAGCAGTAGCGTTGGCGGTGGCAGTATTGCTGCAGCTGTTGCTGCTACTACTATTGTAGTACAAGTACTCGCATTCGTGCTCGTACTCTTACTCGTACTAGTAGTAGTAGTAGTAGTAGTAGTAGTAGTAGTAGTAGTAGTAGTAGTAGTAGTAGTAGTAGTAGTAGTAGTAGTAGTAGTAGTAGTAGTAGTATAGTAGTATAGTAGTATAGTAGTATAGTAGTATAGTAGTATAGTAGTATAGTAGTATAGTAGTATAGTAGTATAGTAGTATAGTAGTATAGTAGTATAGTAGTATAGTAGTATAGTGGTATAGTGGTATAGTGGTAGTGGTAGTGGTAGTGTTAGTGGTAGTGGTTGTGGTAGTGGTTGTGGTAGTGGTAGTAGTGGTGGTAGTAGTAGTAGTAGTAGTAGTAGTAGTAGTAGTAGTAGTAGTAGTAGTAGTAGTAGTAGTAGTAGTAGTAGTAGTAGTAGTAGTAGTAGTAGTAGTAGTAGTAGTAGTAGTAGTAGTAGTAGTAGTAGTAGTAGTAGTAGTAGTAGTAGTAGTAGTAGTAGTAGTAGTAGTAGTAGTAGTGGTAGTAGTAGTGGTAGTGGTAGTGGTAGTGGTAGTGGTAGTAGTAGTAGTAGTGGTAGTAGTAGCAGTAGCAGTAGCAGTAGCAGTAGCAGTAGCAGTAGCAGTAGCCGTAGCCAGTAGCAGTAGCCGTAGCCGTAGCAGTAGCAGTAGCAGTAGCAGTAGCAGTAGCAGTAGCAGTAGCAGTAGCAGTAGCAGTAGCAGTAGCAGCAGTAGTAATGGCAGTGGGTATACAGAGTCGGTAGTACGGTGTAGTTAGTAGATCGTAGCAAGCAGATAGTAGTTATAAGTATGTAGTTATTCGTAGGAGTCGGAGCAGAAGCTTGCAACAGCGGTAGCAGCAGCAGTGACAGCAGCAGTTGCCTTAGCATGAACAGTTGCAGTAGCAGTTGCAGTTTCAGGGAGATGGTAGCAAAAACATCTCACTCAAGAGGGCACGAGACCTACCACTCCAAATTTGTAGGCGCATTATGAGAGCAGTCAACGTATCAGAAGTGGACCGTGCCCCTTTGGTCAGGCTGCGAGCGATCTTCTGCTTGGCTGCAGCCTTTGCCGTGATGGGACCGCACCAGTAGATGCTTCAACACCAGGCAGAGAGTGCAGCGAAAATCGGACACATACCGCTTCCCGTGGCATTGACTTAAAATCAGGACTAGGTGTAGAGGTCAAAGAGGTTCAAGGCGCATGATTCAATGTGCGATATGTCCTTGGCCTTGGGGTCCAGGATGGTGGCAGGTGGCATTTCGAGCAAAAACGGCATTAGATGACCATTATATATATATATATATATATATATTGCTCCCAGGGTCTGCGACGTACTGAGGTTGTGGACTAGTGGATCAACCCGTGATCTCACGGCGCTTGGGTGTCATGCCGCGCACGCAGCTTGCAAGCCTCATCTGCCCAGAGAGCCTACGCACGAGAACTAAGGCTTGGCCTCGAGAAGAACCCCTTGATCCAATGTGCGAGGCGGATCGGAGAGCAGGACGACGTGCTGCAGGCCGGGATGTACATGCTGACCAGCAGTCTAATTTCGTCGACTGCTGAGTTGCACCGTGTAGATCTCTCGGCGGCTCCTGTCTCAGGAGCAAGAGCTTCCAGGAGCCGTTGGCCCTTGGAGAGGGTAAAAAGAGCACATCCATATGCATCCTTTCTGGTGATTGATTGAAGCAAGAGCTGTGTTGCACTGGGATATACACGCACCTCTCGTGCAGTCTGCGACTCTCACTATGTGTGTACATCTGGGTATGGGGCTTGCGAATGCCGGTGCTTTGCTTTCGCAGACCTTGCCACGCTAGTTGTAGACATGGCCACCATGAGTGTGGGTTGTCACTATGCGCCATCTAGTTGGATCTAGTTGCTCCAAGGGGTTCTGGCAGCACTTTGCAGCAGTAGGTCCTATGTTCTACAGCATTGGCTTGGCCTATCCATCATTGGGCTATACTGCCTGGGCCTAGATCCTTCGCAGCCTTGTCGAGCGATGGGTGCAGCGCAGCTGCTTGACGGCAGATAAGGTGATCCCTGTTGTGCTGCTGCAGCGGGTGTTTGCAGGATGTCACACTGCATTTTAGTTGTCGATGCTGAGGTGCGGCATCTGTTGTGGGGAGCGCGAGAAGGACTGACACTTTCTGACGCCGACGCATGCTTGTAGATTACGTCATGCAGTCCACAAATCTATCATGCCAGATCGCTCTTGCCGAATCTCCTGCCATGGCAGGGCCCGGACAATGAGGCAAGCAAGCGCCACGCGAAAGCTGCGCCAGGCCGGGTCAGGACACGGTGGCTCTCTGTCTCTGCATGCGTCTCATCCTTGAGGCTTGGAGTCGAACCTTCCCGACCTCTTAGCGAATCGTCGGCCCAAGGCCAAGGCGGCCAAGGCCAGGCTTGGAGAACGGTTCAAAGCTTGCTTGAATCATCTTGAGTAGGTGGACTGCGCACATTGAGGCAACACAAGCAAGAGAAAGACAGATGAGTTACAAGTAGGCCAGCATCCACAAAAAGTGCGAACTCAGATAGCAGAGTGAGCGAGAGTCCGACAAGACGAGCAGCAGAGGCTTGAGGTTGGAGTTCCAGACGAAATGCGAGCGAGAAAAGCGTCCAGCCGTCGACTTTGATGACCAGAACTGGGTTTTGAGAGAGACCATGTCGTATTTCGGAAAGCATGAGGTTCCGGAGCGGCAGGGGGCGGGTCTTCCAACGCCCCAACGAACACTTTGCGAGTCGATGGCACCACCTTCATCGAAATGACTCGAAATGGATTCCTATGCAGGCGACGGGCACAGGATCCTGGTTAAATGCTGAACGACGAACTGAGACTTAATGGCCGACTTGCCAACAGCAACCCGACACCCCCAGGACCCAGGCTCTCACCGTTTGCGGCTTGTCTCAGTGTAGGGAGCATCATGGCAAGGTTGAACAGCTCGCTTCACGAGCTGACTACGCAGGTGAACGAGAGAATTTTTCTTAAGCCTTAAGCATCCGGCCTTACTCATGTCCCGAGCCTCGCCGGAAGAGGTCTGCAATCACCGAAAGTGGGTTAAGCTCGCGGGCACATTTGCATCAGCTCCGCCGTTCAATTGACTTCTCTGTCGGACTGGGGTGACGACCAACCTTCGGCACGTGGTCGTCTGGTTCGTGCCGCTCTGAAGCGATGGGGCAGCTGCAGCTGCGTCGTTGCAGTGACAGTGTCGTTGTGTCTTCGGGGGTCGATTCTGCTTGAATCTTGTTCGAGACTCTAACGATTCTTTAGTGCACTCGTGGCATCGGATTGGCTCTGTCCCTGAAGGACAGCGACGACAAGGGTAAGGAGGCCCGGATCCGGTGCGGTCTTCTGCAGCTGGCACTGGTTGCAAGCAGATGATCGACGTTTCCATCTGCTTGAAGTCTTGATTTATGCTTTCTGTGACTTCTGTGCAGTGAAATGCTGTGTATAGGCCGCACGGTAGGGCAGGGAGGCGTGGCTTTGCGATGCGAGCCGGACAGGCTTCGCTTGACTTGCATTTCTACCGAGTTAAGGGCACGCGTTCTTGAATGCCGTGTGTAGGCCGAGCATGGTAGGGCAAGGAGGAGTGGTTTCATGATGTGAGCCGGACAGGCTGCGCCTGCTGACTTCACTATGAGTCTCATGCCTTCCTCCACTTCTCTGCAGTTGCAGGAAACGAATTTCCAGAAGCAGAAAGCCGCTGGCCTGATCCTGCACCATACTGTACGTAGCAGGGCGAGCTCCTCCCTATGCCAGCACGTCGAATGGCAGCATGCTGCATGAGTTGATCTTTCTCGTCGTCCATGCTGCAGCTTCATGATACGTGCATTGCATGTAAGTGTCTATGTAAATGTACGCCTACGCGCATGGCGAAACCTGTGTGCATGAAGTCTTTGCCAGCTGCTGCCACATCGAGGCTGCGGAAGAGCGCGAGGCTTTTCTGCGCGCTCTGATGGAGGAGCATGCGGAGGCCTGGTGACGGCTGGAGAAAGCTCATCCAGCGCAGCAGCGGGGTGGACGAGAGTCTCCGGACATGTGAGACGTCATGTGGAGTTCGGATGATTGCCTTACTGAATTCTGATTAATTCTGACTGGTTGGTGCTGCAGGCTGAGCGTGAAGAGCTTGCAAAGAGAAAGGAGGCTGCCCCTGCTGGGAAGGTCTCCGGTCGAGTGTCTACGCTTCGGGGAGCGGGTGCCCTCAGGCAAAGCACAAGCAGATGCTGCTGCGGTTGGAGGCCTGGCAGTTTTAAGTTTGAAGCGGAATTCTAGGCGGAAGATCTGAAGTCAAGCATTCGAGTCTCGCCATCCGGAAAGCCGCATCAACTTCCACAAGCTTGCTCGCCTTCTAGGGCTCTTCAATATCTGTGCAGGTCGTCAAGTGTGCCCATTCGCTGAACCTGCTCAGGCTGTGAATGAGCTCCTCCGGGCGGAGTACGCGAACATCGTGGACCGTGAGGCCCAGCCAGTTGTCATGTCTCTTGGGTAGCCAAGGTCGGCTTCAGGTTTCAGAGTTTGGGGTCCCAAACACTAGCACCTCACAATGCCGCGGGGGGGGGGAGGCGGTGTGGCGTGGGTGGCAAAACTCTTGACGTGTGATCAACATCATTCAATTTTCATTACACTGAGGCCCGCGTCACCTTCGAAACGGAGGTGAAGGCAGCTGGGCGCGCGAGTCGCGCCTGAACGGGCATTGCTTGGGCTTGTGGTGAGGAGATTCTGCCTTCGGAAAAGGGACCCTGCGTCCGACCCTCAGAAAGCAGAAAAAGCAGAGTTGAAGGATGAGTTGGGCGCTTTGTGGGGCTCGTGGTGCCCAGAGTCTGCAGAGTCGAGGTCCCCGGTGCGTCCTCTGCGTCCTCTTCTTCAACAGAAGGCGAAATCCGTACAGTGCTTCTCAAGTGTGAAGGGACGGCTGCTTTGCTGGCTCTGTTACACTCCGCTAGAGAGGTGCAGTCGAGTCCCCAAATCTGCGAGTTTCTCAGACCCCGAATCCGCTCTCTCTGACAACTGGGCACGATGACTACCGCCACGGCGGCTTGAACTGAAGCCGAAGCATGTCGGAACAAGGCACATCAAGGCAGGATGACGAATGGTCTGAAGCCACCGGATCTTGAAACATGGGGCAGCGAGTCTGTTCACACGTTTGTATTCGGTTGGTCCTGCTTCGCGTACTTCGGCTACCTTCCGTGCTCGCTCGCTCCGCTTGTGAAGGTTTCTCACACGGAAGAAGCAGCTAAGCTTTGAAGATGTTGAACCCTGTTGCACAATATACAATGGCTGTAGGTAGGTTGTCCTTCTAACATCTTCTAACATGGAAAAGATGGCTTTTTAGTCGTGTCGAAATGCGTAGAAGTGTCTCCCGGCCTTGCTCCCAATGAAATGACGGCAACACCCGTGTTGCTTTAAGCGAAAATCGTGGTGGCAGCGGGCCGTGTTTAACCGTGTTTCATCGGAAGGGGGATATGTCAAGCCGAGAAGTAGGAAGGGGCGCAAGTAGAGTGCTGCCCCGCTGTCGAGGATGCGCGAAGCCGTCCATTTTGAAGGCACGTTGAGCAGAGATTCGAGAAGTTTGGTGAGCACGGCAATCTCGTGAGACTGTTGTGCCACTTTGCATGCAGGACAGCAAGCAGCGAAACGCTGGGAACTGCGGACGTGGAAATCCTGGGGACGACGCCTCTTGCATGAATATGGAATCGTTGAAGATCACCTGTTTGCGGTGTGATGCTGGCAAGGACAGTCCGCGCTCAAGTGCCGACAGCGCTTGGATCCCCAGCCCAAACTTGGAGTGATGATGCTCTCATGCTCTCGCCGGTTCGCTGCCGCAGTTTTGGAGCAGATCCGGGAGCTGTAGGTCTACCCCGACTTTGATGGAGACGATGACGTCTTCTTCGAAGAGTGAGCCTCCGCCCCACAGACCCGGGTGGAAGGCATGCGTGTCACATTGATTCACTGCTGTCGTTTTCTCCGAATTGCAAAAAATCAGATCTAGCTCTCTTCTCGAGCAGTGCATGCGCGGCCCCGATTGTCGCAGATCTGCGGCATAAGGCCTATCCGTTTTATGCCGCGAGTTTGTCCAGCTTGACATTGATGCACCGCCCGAACAAGTCTCTGTCTTCTCTTCTGGAGACTCTTGGTCGTGACTGCTTGCAAGATTTATGATCTTAGGGAAGCTCGGAACTCTGCCAGCCAACCTTATAAAGTCGACTACAGTTAGCTGCGCAAGCGCATGCGACTTCGACGGTGCATAGACATCACTGCTGATTGACTGCAGCGGGAAATGTTTGCACCGGCATGGACACGTACGGCCAGCCTACGGCCCACACATGCTGCCACGTGTCATGTGGCTACATCTTGGCATGCTTGGATGCGGAGCATGTGAATTCCGTTGCCGCGTTGGGCGCTCCATCTTTGTGGGCGATGGGTACAGCGCAGCCGCTTGACGAGCTCAGCTACAAGGATCTTTTTTGTGCTGCTGCAGTGTGTAGAACGTTGTACCGGATTTTAGTTGTCGATGCCGAGGTGCAACTTATGTTGCGGGGAGCGGGAGAAGGACTGACAGTTCCTGATGCCGACGCATGCTTGTAGAACGCGGTCCACGATTCACAAATCTACAAATCTATCATGTCAGATCGTTCTTGCCGAATTTTTCTGCCACGGCAGGGACCGGACAATGGGGCGCGCAAGCGCTGCGCGACAGCTGGTCCAGGCCGGGTCAGGACACGGTGGCTCTGCTCTCTGCACGCATCTCATCCTTGCGGAGGGCGCCAGAATCTCCCCGATCTCCTGACGAATCGTCGGCCGAAGGCCAGGCTTCGAACGGTTCAAAGCTTGCTTGAATCATGTTGAGTAGGTGGACTGCGCTTGTTTAAGCAACACGGGCGAGAGAAAGATGGATGAGTCACATGAGTTACAAGTAGGCCAGCATCCACAAAAATTGAAAATTCAGACAACAGACAAGAGGAGCAGCAGCGGCATGAGGAAATGGATTCCTATGGAGGCCCCACGGGCACAGGATCTTGGTTAAATGCTGAACGACGAATTCTACACGGAATTGTAGCTGTATGCGAATTAATGGACGACTTGCCAACAGCAGCCCGACACCCCCACGACCCAGGCTCTCACCGTTTGCGGTTTGTCTCAGTGTAGGGAGCATCAATGCAAGGTTGAACAGCTCGCTTCACGAGCTGACTACGCAGGTGAACGAAAGAATTTTTCTTAAGCCTCAAGCGATGGGGCAGCTGCAGCTGGGGCGTTGCAGTGAAAGTGTCGTTGTGTCTTCGGGGGTCGATTCTGCTTGAATCTTTTTCGAGACTCTAACGATTCTTTATTGCACGCGTGGCGTCGGATTGGCTCTGTCCCAGAAGGCCAGCGACGATGACAAGTGCAAGGAGGCCGGGATCCTGTGCGGTCTTCTGCAGCTGGCACTGGTTGCAAGCAGATGATCGACGTTTCCATTTGCTTGGGTCTTGATTTATGCTTTCTGTGACCTCTGTGCAGTGAAATGCTGTGTATAGGCCGCACGGTAGGGCAGGGAGGCGTGGCTTTGCGATGCGAGCCGGACAGGCTTCGCTTGACTTGCATTTCTACAGAGTTAAGGGCACGCGTTCTTGAATGCCGTGTGTAGGCCGAGCATGGTAGGGCAAGGAGGAGTGGTTTCATGATGTGAGCCGGACAGGCTGCGCCTGCTGACTTCACTCTGAGTCTCATGCCTTCCTCCACTTCTCTCCACTTGCAGGAAAGATTGAATGTGAATGACCAGAAGCAGAAAGCCGCTGGCCTGATCCTGCACCATACTGTACGTAGCAGGGCGAGCTCCTCCCTACGCCAGCACGTCGAATGGCAGCATGCTGCATGAGTTGATCTTTCTCGTCGTCCATGCTGCAGCTTCATGATACGTGCATGTAAGTGTCTATGTGAATGAACACAAACACACATGGCGAAACCTGTGATCATGATGTCTTTGCCAGCTGCTGCCACATCGCCGAAATCTGCGAGCCTCTCACGACCCCAGTCATCCCTACAATACAATGGTCGTAATTAGGCAGGCCCTTGACATGGACATACAACATACAAGAGATGGTGATGGTAGTTCTGTCGAAAACAGTCAGACGACAAACTTCAGGTTGATGTGGCCCCGTCTTCTCCTGAAGTCTGGCACGGCACATATCAGCGCGGAATGGTTGAGAAAAGACTGGCTGTCCAGGGAGTTTGTCATGAGTTCATGCATTGTCAGGGATCGAGAACGGTAACGACGTTCGGGTAATTCAGAAATAGGATCGGGGATGGAAGGCCCGCTGGGTTGTGGCATCAAAGGCCCGAACCAACCTCCGGCTTTTACGAGACATCGATAGCCGCATGCATCACAAGCTGTGAAGGGGCAACCAACCATGCGCCCGGGCCCAGACACTGCATACCGCCCTTGATGCAGCCGGCTGGACGTGACATCTGCGCAGCCTGCATCATGGGCTCTCGGCCTTCAGCATTGGCAAATGATGGCAAATGAGACATCCTACTTTAAACAACTTTCGCAAGGACTCCCTGGCAGGCCGGCCCAGGTACGGGTACAGGTGTCCCAACCGAAATTGCTGAGTCTTCGAGCCTGCAGCCAATAGGTTTTGAGGTGGCTTGATGTCGAAGGACGCAAAATTGTTCGATCCCACGTTTTTGAGTTCGAGTCCCGAGGAGGTTGAACGCACACTGGTTCTACCGAGGCAGGCCCGCTGATCCAGCAAAACATAGCGAAACATCCAGCGCAAGTGAGATCCGCACAGCTTCTGGCCCAAGTAACACGATCCTTACCATCAGCAAATAGGAGAGCCGGCGGGAAGGTTGAAGTCACCTGCCGTGCAGATAGCTGAAGGGAGTTTGCGTCTGATGCATCGCCACCTAGCAGCTCAGCGGAGCCCACCCGACGTGACTGGAATATACTAGAATCCACAGATTAGGTAGATGTGTCTGGGCACTAGGACAGCCATCCACTTCAAAACATCAGTAGTGGCAACCGGAAATCGATGAGACCTGCCCCAGAAATCCGTTTCCGTTTGACGGTATCTACGCATTTGAAGCTCTCCCCACTTTCTGCACATCCTGCTCCGTGAACCAGACTTACACTGCCCGCAGTTTCCCTCTGTCGTTTTTTGGGCGTGAAGGCCTTCAAGGTGTAGTTGGACACGACACGAGTAGTGAGCAACAGGGAGCAGAGTTCCGGAGACAGGCCGACGGTCTTAAGGCTTGTCGGTATAGTCGTCAAGGGGGTCCGTGTCCAGGCCAGCGGCCTGCCGATATACACGCGCATTCGTTGCTGCATGGGCTTGCATGGGCGACAACATTGGAAGGATCATCTGCTGTTTATAGATTATAGAGGAAGCTGCTTAAGTTGACGAAACCGAGGGTTTGCTTGCCCAGAGCCGAAAGCGATGCCGATGCTCATAGAGGAGCTGGATGAGGAGAGCCGCGGCTCGTGGCATGATGTAGCATGTTGACGTGGTTTCGGAGAACTCGACGTGCGGCAGATGACATTCCCAGCTGTCCTAAGTTGTTCTTCTGGGTAGCGGCTAGGCTGCATATCGGTAGCCAGAAAAGCTCTCCGGGCATTGCTGCATGAGGAGCCGACAGACAGGAGTTACACTTTCCATCATCTTCCCGATGCGAAGCCTGCGTCTCGGAAGGACGGGGATCCCAAGATTAGCTTGTGACGGCAAAGGTCCACTTATGATTTCTGCCGAGGTTCAGCTCCTTCGGCTCCCCAGAGATACAGCCCTTTTTTGACAAGTGGGGCTTTGGACCAGACATGGCCGCGGGCCTGAGAGCTTTCCCCAGAGACGAAGGCTGCAAGAGAGTGAAGGATCCCTTACATGCCGAAATCAAGGCGATGTGCACCTTCCGCGTGGAGCAGAAGGCCGCACGATACGAACAAGTTCTAAGTCACTGAAGAACGCAAGATCGGTATCATACAGGTGCCGGCTGGACACCCACATACATTCATACATTCCAGCAGGAAAAATTGATATGACAATCATTAGTTGTTTCTCTCGCTCTCCTCTTTCCCGTCTTGATGTTTTCCTGCATGTAGCCCTTGCCGAGGTCACAAGCGAGACTTTCCAGACCATGTTGGACGCCTTTTTCAAAGACAGGTCTGTCATATCATATCCACATTCTCATGGCAGTTGCATCACTTCGAATCCTGTCGCAGGGAGGTGCTCTCTGTTCTGCACTCGCAAACCGGCATCCGGGTGCACCGCGCTTAGCTTCATGAAGCTGCAGCTACTGCTCTCAACCGCCTGCACCTGCTGTATGCCCTAGTGAGCTGCTTCATGGGCCTGCTGGGGTCTGAGCTGAACAGGCGATGCTTCTAGCAAACAGAGATCCTGTGGGGCTTCTAGTTGTGGTCTTCTTTTCGCTGCAAGTTCGCATGGACTCCCATAACCGAGCTCTTAGATTGCACATGGAATCGGGCATGCGGCTGTAGTCTTCTCAACAGCGTTGCTATTGGCAGCGAGCGCCGTTTGGGCGTTGTCAGGCTGAGCCCGCCGAAGGTGAGTGTCAGATGGCAGCCCATGAGTACGAAGGCTGTGCTCGTGCCTCAGCTTGTCTCCTCGAGCTTGTGTTCACTTCTGGCAGGTTGTCAGCATGTCTTTCTTCAACAAGCTGGAGGAAGCTGGATGTATAGGTAGCTCAGGCGAGACCGCAGCCTGCTTACAATGACGCCAGTGGCCTCAACCGACAGCAGGATAGAAGCATGTACAGGTGGAGTTTCTCCTTGAGCACAAGCGATTGTAACGACATGCAGGTCATATTCGTGGGCGGCTAGAGGAAGATTGGGAAGATGTCCCCATGGCTTGGAGCTGAGACTGCAGCTCTGACGGGTTGTCTGGCCATTTCTGCAGAATCAAGGGACCTGCGGAAGCATGCAAGAAAACAAGCAGGTCACCACAAATGACTACATTGCAGCGCATAGATAGACCCGAGGACACCCTTGCCCTTGCCATGTCCCGACTGCTGCGATCTCCAAAACCAATCGTCGGCAGGGACAGCGCGACATCGCCCATCTGACTCTGTTCTAACTCTGGGAGTAAAAAAGAGTGTGGACTGCTGAGCACCAGGTAAACCTCATCAGAGAGGCCCGGCCAGGGCTGCAGCACCCATGCAACAGGATCCAGTAAGAAGGTAACCTGTGGAGTCGGTATCCTTGACTTTAACATAAGAAGGAACCCTCTCTTCCACGGCAACGGCAGGCAATTCTGATGGAAGAGAGTGAGCTTTACGACACATTTTCCGAGCAAGACAGAAGAGAGCCGCTTGGCTTCGGGACCGGCTTCGCTGAGGAAAGGTGCGTTGAGCGGATAAGTCTGCACTTAGGTTCTTGTTTCGAATTTTCCAGCACCTGATCTTTGGTGGTGCCTCCAACCAGTCCGGCTCTCAGCAATCCAGGTCGACTGCTACGAATCAGCAGGAGAAACTTAAGACTAGGGACTTGAGGACAGTTCAGCTGAAGCGACTGCCAGGTACGAGGATCACGTGGAGGACGGAAGTTCTGCTAAATTCAAACTTCCAGAGAAGAAATCAAGCGTCGGCGCGGATGGCTGTCATTCGCCTTGGTTTCTCTTTTGCCAGGACTATTTCACGGCAACTAAGGCGGTGTACAAGGACAGAAGACCTATCTTGAGCAGGGTTAGGATTGGGGGGGTTGTGGCAGAAATAGAAGGCAGAATTGGATGGCGTGAGATGCATGACAGAGGTCCGACATGGTCCGAAGTCCGAAAATCACCCATTGACTCTGTTTCTCGTTTACCGGGCCAAGCGAATCTCGCGGGGTCTTCTGAAACATTCAAAGACATTGAGCTTTTTCTGTATACAGGTATGTATATAGGTAGTCATTTAGATGTTCATACATACACATATCTGTGTGTCTGTGTCTGTGTGTGCATTTGTGAGTGGTCTCAAGCCGCATCGATGTTCATCATCTCAAGATTTCCAGACAGTTGAAGGACCCTGCGAAGAACCTCAAGGCTCTTATGGTATCCCTTAAAGTGCTTGTATCTCATAAGAAGACTGCACAGCTTACTATACAGCCCCGGCCTGCTGGAGTAACGAAGCTGTGCCACAGGCAGCCTTGCGAAAATTGGTCACAACGCACCGCAGCCACAACAGCCCACAAGATTCGGTTTGGACTAAGCAAATCGTTATCGCCACGAGAGTCTCGGGCCACCGCATCATGGGTTCTGCTACGAGGATCTGCTATCAGTTCGCCGCAGTGACACAGGCGATGTCGAGGTGGCCGGGGTTCGTTGGCCTCCCTCGTATGTCGACTTCTCACGTGTTAGCATGAACCGGTGAAAGATTGTAGAGTCTAGAACAGCGTCACAACTTCCTACAGCCCAGCATCCATTCTTGCGAGAGATTGCAACACTTGTCCTCGAGGTGCTCTCGACTATCGGCTCCATTGTCTCCCTGGGTGATGCTGGCTTCCTCTATCCGAAGGACTGCAGCTTACAGCGAACCTGAAGTCACTGTTTCCATTGCAAAGATTCCCCGTGCGGCTTTCGGCGAGGAGAGTGTTCTGAACTTCTGCTACATAATCCACGATCCTGCCACTTGCTCAGAGTCTTCGAGGCATTGCATGTTCAACAGCTTATACCAACAGATACAGCTTGTTTTCTGAACAGCAAAGTGTCTGCCGTTTGTGCGCAGTCGTCGAGCTGAGTGAGCCAACGGTGCCACGTCCGAAGCATTGAACTTGCCGCCGTGGTGCAGATGCGGCGCACGTGTAGCGAAGGTTGATTGAAAGCGGATCTTTGTGATGGCAAGCGCGTTCCCAGACTCCCTGGAACAGTCCTCCTCGTGTCTTCCAGACCTTCCAAGCACCTGTGCAATTGCATTGGGCAATTAAACAAGAGCATGTGCTACTGATGTTGCGCACTTAATGATGAGTACAACTCACGAGCAAGAACAAGCAGAGCAACAACAATAAACCCGGGCAGGAGTCATCACAGCAATGATAAATGCCCAACATGAAAAGGATGCGTCGGAGATCAGCCTAAGGTTGTCCGCCACGTGAAGGTCTGGTGCCCCGATTTGCATAACCTGCGCAAACTAGGCTAGGGTGCATCTAGAAAACCCAGGCATGCACATGATGGTCAGGCATTGTCGTTCAAGGTTCTCAGCCACAGCCAAACGACTCCAGGTACTTCGGCTTTCGGCCCTTGTGGTGAGTAGACCGAATTCGCATCTGTACAGAGCCCGTGCATGTCAAAAACGAATTTGTACCATCTGTGCAGTTTCTCTGCAAAGCCGGCAAAGACGAAACCTGCATGACGCGTGGCACACACGAGACAAGGTCGACTTCGTCTCACAATTCTTGCAATATGGTAATCTGTGTTTCCAACAATATTCTTACCGTGTTTCTTGGTGATGGTCTGTCAATTGGCAGAGTGGAAACTACTGAGGAGCATTGATGATAATAATGATGAGGTCGGGTAGTAACCCCATATGTAAAAATCAAAATCTAGTCTTCTGGAAAGGCAGGAACAAGTCGATGAAGATAGTGATGGGCGCGGCTTATCGGGCATCATTTTTTTTCTGTTGGGGTCGAGTCGGGGTTCAAACTTTCAAAACTGCTTTCAGGTATAGGTGGTAATGTAGGCATGGGTGGAGTTTTGGATGAGGGATTCGTTCCGCTTTTTCGATCTCCGCATGATGCATGTTATGATTGCTTTTGTACTTTAGGGATTGGGGTTGTGGGGGTTTCGAAATTAAGGAAGGGTTTAGGTCCTAAAATTTAGGGTCTATTAAGTATTTCAACCGCGCGAGAGGAAAATGAACTCGACTACGTTATTCGTATTATATTTAGAATGATTTTGAAAAATTATGTTTAAAAATTCAATATATTATAGGATTCTCAAATATCTATAAAAAAAAAATATATATAATCTTATTTACTAGAAGATATAAATGTATATAAATTTCTAAGGTTAATAAATATAAATATAGATAAGAGTGCGTGCAATAGATATAGAAAAATAAGAAAATATTTTATTAAAATTTTGGTTATATTATTGTGGTAGCGCTCGATTTAGTCTTTCCGTCATGAGTCTTGGTTTTTTTTTTCGGTTATGGTTGGTTCTGAAAACATTTTTATTATTTTTATCTTGTTTATTTAAGATTTAGATTATTTTCTTTTATGTAGATTTTTTCCTTTGTGCTTTCTTTTTTTTTTTCGTTCTTTCTCTTCTAAAAGTTCAAGATTCTGAATATTTTGGAAGGGGTGTTGATGATTTGGAATCTACGGAATAGTTCCGTTTTGAGGATTTTGATTGTGAAGGGTTTGTAAATTTTATGGGGTCTGCCGGGGTCTGCAGAATTTCTGAGATTTAAGGGGTGTTGTAAATTGTTTTTGCAGAGTTTGCGGGGTATTCAGGATTCGTGGGATTTGTGGATTAGTGAGGTTTTGTTTGTATGTTTTATGTGTGGGGTCTTAGGGATTTTGTGGTGTCTCTGGAATGTCTGAGTTATTTTGATACGAAGATTAAAGATAGTACTCCCCGGTCAAAAAAAATAGAAATATGTTTCAAAAATATTTTTCGTATTCATTACGATATATATTCTATTATTATCGATATTTACGATATTCGGGAATTTGAAATTATGTCGG